TGTATATCGGATGCAGATCGCGCCCGTCAGGGCTTTACTCGTGGGGGGGGTGGGGGGGGGGGGGCTAATGGCAGGCCGAAGACGCCATGATTCTTGGTCCGGATTCAGTTGGAGGGTGATTCGGGCGTGGGATCGGGGGCCAAGGCGAGGTTGCATACGAGTGTATAGGTACAATCGCCGCCTTGTGGTTAGTCGGTCGGTCGGGGCGGGCGGTCCGGCTGGCAGGCGGTCAGGCAGGCGGGGGGGGGGGGGGGGCGTTCGGTCGGATCGACAGGCGCCATCAACATCACTACATCTGTCTCTGCCCCTCGCACAGGCAAATGGCGAGGGTTCTGGAGATTGAGCGACGATTTTTGCCGCGTGCGGGGTTGGTCAAGGCGTTGGTTGAGAGCGGGGTGCTGGTGCCGTCGGCCACGGGCAGCACCACGTCGTTTGTCGACGCGTACTACGACGTCGTCGACGAGCCGGGGAGGCTGATGGGTGCTGATGCCTGGCTGCGGTTGCGGGGACCGAGGCTAACCGACGTGATGCCTCCAGATGGCGGGAGGGAGCTGGGCCAGTGGCGACCAGAGACAGCCTCCATCCAGCTCAAGCATCGGGCTGTCAGTGACTGCGGTGCCAGCAGCTGTATGCCGAGGAGCGTGTACGCCGAGGAGACCGATGTCGATACCATCAGCTCGGTGGTGAAGGAGCTGTGTGATAAGAGAATTGACAGTTTGGCTGTGGCAGCGGTGGTCGCAACCGATCGAAGTCACTACATCACAGGCGATGGCCTCGAGCTGGTCGTCGACGTCGCCACCTTTCCGCTTGCCGGCCCCGGCGCGCCCGAGTACTCTATCGCCGAGCTCGAGCTCGTACTCCCCGCCGACGCCAGTCCAAGCGCCACCAGTGCCGCTGATGATCGCATCCATGACTTTGCCTCCGCCCACGGCTTTGATCTCGTTGATACAGTCCCGCCCAAGGTTGTTGTCGCCCTGGCTCTCTCCTGCTCCACCGCGTTGCCTGCGCTCGTGAAAGCCGGCATTGTCACACCAGGCATGTTGACTACAGCGGACGATCTAGGTCGCAGTCGTGGTTAATGTGGTCGATGCCCAGCCAAAGGGTCATCCGCTGCCAATCAGCCATGCCATGGCTGATGGCCACGATCACGATCACGGTCACGGCTCACCAGCACCACACCCTCCACCTCCACCACGCCTCTCTACCCACCAGCACTCACCATGTCGTCACCCAAGCCTTTCAAAATTGACATCCACACACACATTCTCCCTCCGGACCTCCATGGCCTGGCGGAGAAGTATGGGTACGCCCCTACCCACCATGCTGTTCCCCTTCCCTTCCCCCTGCCCCCTCTCCTCTCCTGCCACTCCCCCCTCACCGCATTATCCCTATGTACAGTTACGGTGGCTTTATCGAGCTGGAGCACTCGGCCGACGGGCCGACCAAGATGTGGAAGGACGGGGTGTTCTTCCGGGAAGTCGACGCCAACGTGTTTGACCTCGAGGCACGGATGCGCGACATGTGCCCACATGCTGGCTGTACTGGTGGGGAGACGCCCGATGGTGCTGATGTGCATGTCATCTCCCAGACTCCAGTCCTCTTCAACTACTGGATGAAGAACGAGGAGGATGCTGAGGACTGGACCCGCTACCTCAACGATCACATGGCCATGGTTGTTGCGGAGAACCCGAAGCGGTTTGTCGGTCTGGGCACCCTGCCCATGCAGCATCCGCAGCTGGCGGTCAAGGAGCTGCGCCGTTGCATCACTGAGCTTGGCCTTGCAGGCGTTGAGATCGGAACCCATGTCAATGACTGGGAGCTCTCCGCGCCCGAGCTGTTCCCCATCTTTGAGGAGGCTGCCGCCCTCGGCGCCGCCATCTTTGTCCACCCGTGGTACCAGCAGGGCGCCAACATCAAGGAAGATCCGGCAGCGTCGGCGCACTGGCCGTTCTGGATGGCCTGGCTCGTCTCGATGCCGTCCGAGACTGCCCGCGCCATCTGCAACTTTACCATGGGTGGCATCCTCGACAAGCTGCCCAACCTCCGGGTGGCCTTTGCCCACGGCGGCGGCTCCTTCCCGGCCCTCATCGGCCGGATTGAGCATGGCTTCAACGTCCGCCCCGACCTTTGCCAGACTCACTCGACCACCCCGCCGCGCGACTTTCTGGGCAAGTTCTGGATCGATTCGCTCGTCCACGACGACCGCATGCTCAAGTACCTTGTCGACCTCTGTGGCCAGTCTAAGATCTGCCTCGGCACAGACTACCCGTTTGTTCTAGGCGAGGCCGTCCCCGGCAAGCGTGTCCTCGAGCACGAGGAACTGTCCGACGAGGCCAAGGCCGACATCCTTGCCAACAACGCCCTCGAGTGGCTTGGCCTCGACAAGGAGCAGTTCATGTGATTGCCCCCCCCCCCCCCCCCTCCTTCAAACAACCCATCCCATCAATCTGTCACTCTGTCACACCATGCCGATGGCAATGCGCGTGACCACTGCCGCGCACATGTGTGTCGCATCGGCTAGCCGGCGAGTTTACCCGAGTGTTCCTCCCCTCGCGCCGAGCTTCCTTTGGCGCAGTCACCACCACCACCAGCGACGAGCAACAATGCCCAACAGCCGTCTCTTGCACCACGGCGGAAGACATACTAAGGTGGCCGACCCTTTCGCGCCGTCTGCGCCTCCTGCGCATGCCTCTCGGACTCTCCCGTCGGCGCCACCGTCGGGCGGAGGCCGGGTCACTCTCGCCGACCTCTACCGCGATGCCTTTGCTCTAATCGAACGTGCCGTCGCTGCTGACGCCTCAGGCAACCTTCCATCCGCGCTACTGCTGTATGTCGAAGCCGTCTCGGCCTTCACTCTTGTGCTCCACGCCGAGACCGATGCTGCCAAGGCTGCACTGGTCCGCGATCAGCTCGAGGAGTACACGGCCCACGCCGAACAGCTGCAAGCGGCGCTGGCAGCCGATGAGGCCGATGGCGACGGTGCCGGCGCTAGTAGAAAGAGCGAGAGTGGCGATGAAGCCGATGCTGCTGTCGATGCTGTCCGAGCCCGCCGCGAGGCTGCTGACTTTGCGCTGGATATGGCGCTCAAGCACGATGAGGCCGGACAGAACAAGAAGGCGCTGAGCCTCTACCTCGATGCGGCCGAAGCATACATGGCGGTGGTGGCCAGCGGCGTGGCTGGCGCCGAAGACGAGGTCGCTGTGGCCAAGACTCGGGTCGAGGCCGTCATCGCCCGGGCGGAAGTGATCAAAAAGGGCAAGGCGCCGGTGGCGCAGCCGGCGACCGCGCTCAAGTCGCGGCGGCTGTCATCGGCCATGAGCACGCGGCGGAGTGGCACCAGCAAGCAAAGCTCATCGACGAGCAGCAGTGAAGGCTACACCGAGCTGGAAAAGCGGATCCTCTCGGCGTCGTCGGTCGTCAACGGGCGACTGTTTGTGCCGTTCCTCGACTACGACCTCGACGACGCATTCTCCTTTGCGCAGCCATTCACTGACCCCGATGGTTTACTCACGCTCTCGTCCAAGCAGCAAGCGGTGTTTGCTGGGTGGCGCCGGCCGCGCGAGCTGGTTCGCGGCGGGCGGCGGCCAACCATGATCTCCCTCATCTCGGCCTTCTCGATCCGGCAGACGGTCATCACCGACTGCTCGTTTGTGTCGTCACTGGCGGTGGCAGCCATGTACGAGCGGAGGTTCAAGAAGCAGCTGGTCACCTCGTGCATCTTTCCGCAGGACGTGTCGGGTCAGCCCAAGTACAACCCGAGCGGCAAGTACATGGTGCGGCTGCTGTACAATGGAGTGCCGCGCAAGGTCGTCGTCGACGATCTCCTCCCGGTCTCAACATCCGGGCAGGTCATGTGTTCGCACTCGACCGACCCGTCGGAGCTGTGGGTCTCCATCATCGAAAAGGCGTTCCTGAAGCTCCATGGCGGCGGCTCGTACGACTTTCCCGGCTCCAACTCGACAACGGATCTGCACGCGCTGTGCGGCTGGATTCCCGAGTCGGTCGACATGCATGGAGCTGAGTTTGATCCGGCCCGGACGTGGGAGCGCATGCTCTCGGGCCTGCGCTTTGGCGATTGCGTGTTGACCGTAGCGACCGACTCGTCACTGCCGGCGGCCAAGTACGACGAGCTTGGCCTGGTCTCGTCGCACGCGTATGCGGTGCTCGATCTGCAGGAGGTCGACGGCGTTCGGTTTCTGCTCCTCAAGAACCCATGGGCACGATTGTCGTGGCGCGGCGCGTACTCGCGGCACGATGCCAAGCGATGGACTCCTGAACTACAGCAGGCGCTCAACTACAACGTGTCCAAGGCGCTCGCCCACGATAATGGCGTGTTCTGGATCGACTACGACTCGCTGCAGCAAGTCTACTCGCGAGTCCACATGTCGTGGAACCCAGATGTGTTTGCGCACCGCTACGTTCTGCACGACGCGCTCTCCAACAAGATCGGACCCAAGTCAGACCGGCACACTCTCGGATACAACCCACAGTACGCGCTGCAGACGGTGAACAAGTCCAAGACGCCTGGCTCGGTGTGGATCCTGCTCTCGCGGCACGTGACCGCGCTCGAGGAGCGGTCGGAGGACTACCTCACCGTCCACGTGTTTGAGAACACAAACGGGGCCCGGGTGTACTACGGCGAGCGCGCCGTTGTCCGCGGTACCTACATTAACGCACCCCACGTCCTCGCCCGCATCGATGTCCCGCCGGGCAAGGCCTCGTACACGCTGGTTGTCTCGCAGTACGAGCGGCTGCATCCCATCAACTACACGCTGACGATTTACGCCACGGTCCCGAACCGCGTCACGAAGATCCCGCTCAAGCTGCCTGGCGAGAAGCGGCTGACCGGGAGCTGGACGGCGGCGAGCGCCGGTGGCTCGTGCAACTCGCCGTCGACCTACGGCCGCAATCCACAGTACAGAGTCCGGCTCTCCGGTCCATCCCGGATCGTGCTTAAGCTCGAGGCCGAGTACGCGGTCAACGTCTCGCTTGTCCGCGGTACCGAGCGGGTCTCGGTTGTCTACACCTCGGCGCTTGCGCTCTCGACGGGCTCGTACCGCCCAGGCTTTGCCTACATAGTCTCGGACGAACCGATCGACGCCGGCGACTACGTCCTTGTTGTCTCGACATTCACGCCTGGGCAGACCGGAAAGTTTGTTCTCGGCGTGGCCGCGCTTGACGCCCCATTCGACATCAGCTTGATGGCGTAGACGTTGGTCTGGTCCGACATGGGATGGTGCGCGACTAAAAAGTCACCTCTCCCAAGCGTATGGCTCAGTGTGCATGTCCACCGCCCCAACCCGACCCAAATCCAGCTTGTGTGCCGAAACTGGGCGAGCGGGCGCCAGCCGCGACGAATGCTCGGGAGGAAGCGACACCCGACTGCATCCAACCGTACGTAGAAGCGCGAGTAGTAGCCCGTGTAGCAGGCGAGAAATGAATGCTCTGCCACACCCCACGCAACTAGCATGTACCAGGCGAGTTGGGGACCAGCTGCGAGAGGGTTGTGGCTCGGTGTCTGGCCCCATGGTGCCTGTGGAGCCGTATGACTACCGCTGGCGGGGCGTCTAGGTCGGCGAGGCAAATTTTTGGTCGCTCGTCTCGGTCCGGCTCTGACCGAGGCTGGCATGGGCATGGCGTGTGGACGGGACCCACAGAGAGCCATATATGGGGCATGAAGAACACTGTGCAGGCAGCTAGGAATGGCCGTGTGGTCCCTTGCGCAAGAGGAGACTCGCAACGCGAGGCTGCTTGCGGGTGCGGGTGTGCCGCGTCTGGGCCGACTGTGGTGCCGCTGCGTAGGCGACATCATCATCAGCAGCAGCAGCCAAGAGCGTTGTGGGAGGGGCGGGGGGAGGGGGGGGGGGGGGGGGGGGGGACGAAGAGGCTCACGGGGCGGAGTGTATGTGATTGACCACGTAGAATATGGCTTCTGAGGCCGATATCAAGATCGAGACGCCCGCGTACGACTACCGGTTCCCGCACACCTCGTCGCACACCAAGCGCTGCTGGGTCAACTACAACCTCTACCAGCGGTGCGCCATGGACAACGGCGAGGACCACCCCGACTGCCGCAAGTACTACAAGACCTTCCGGTCCATCTGCCCCGATGCCTGGTGGGAGAACTGGGACGAGCTCCTTGAGGAGAACCGCTACCCAGTCCAGTTTACCGCCCTCAGCGACGCTGGCCACTGATGCCACTCGTGACATCCAAGCTCTCCCTCTTCTCCCCTGAAGTGGCCCGATGAAAGCAACGTAGTCCATCGCCCCCCCCCCCCCCCCCCTCCCCCCGTTCTCTCTCTCTCTCTCTTTCCCTCTTTCTCTCTCTTCCTCCCTCCATTTCTGCCATCAGGCCAGCCGCTGTCTTTCGCCGCGGAGAAACCACCCACCCCCCACCTCCCACGCGATGTCGTCAGCGAAACTCCACCTGCACGCGACCCCGTTGCGACCAAGCCTACGGCATACTTCTCGCTGGCATCCCCCATAGAGTTCCTCTCTCACCATGGCAGATAGCGGAAACACCAGGGACCGGCCCACGCAGGACGAGTTGCGGCGGTTCCATAGGCTTGTGGCAGACTTTCATGCCGGCGTCGACGTGAGGGACCGCAAGTACCACCTGCGGACATACCCCAATGTCTTTGTTGGCTCCGAGGCGGTGAGCTGGCTGGTCGAGTCGAGCATTGCCGCAGAGCGGACGGAAGCTGTGCATATCGGTCAGATCCTGCTCGAGGCTGGTATCTTTGGCCATGTCAAGAGCAAGCACGGCTTTAAGGACGAGCATCTGTTCTATCGATTTGCCGACCACGCCGGGGCGCCGAGCCGCCACGATTCGGACGACGAGTCAGAGGCCGGCACGCCGCTGCCAGACAACGCAGATTCAGAGCTGTGGTCGTCGGCCGGCTCGTTTATGCTCCAGGTCGCTGGTATTCCCATGGAGCGCAAGATCTCCGTGGTCGAGGAGTTGTTCCACGATGCGCCGCCGGCGAGCCTGGAGGATCTCGCTCTCGCGCCCGACGACGAGCACAACCAAGCGCTGGTGGCCAACGTCCATCCGCTCGACTGGGAGTCGCCGGTGGACAACGCAGACGAACGGTACAACTTTGTGGTCATCGGCGCAGGCACCGCCGGCCTCGTCACCGCCATCGGCTCGGCCGGCTTTGAGGCGCGGGTCGCCATCATTGAGGAGCACCTGACCGGAGGCGACTGTCTCAACGTCGGCTGCGTCCCGTCCAAGGCCCTCATTGCTGCCGGCCATGCGGCGTACCGTGCCCGCAACGCCCACGAGTATGGCGTGACGGTCGACAGCGTCTCGGTTGACTTTGGCCAGATCATGGAGCGCATGCGCGAGATCCGGGCCGAGATCTCGGCCGACGACTCGGCGCACCGGCTGAAGGAAAACGGCGTCGACGTCTTTTTCGGCCGCGGCAAGTTTATCGACGCCAAGTCGATCGAGGTCAACGGCGTAGTGCTCAACTTTAAGCGAGCATGCATCGCGACCGGCGGCCGGCCGGGCATCCCCAACATTCCGGGCCTCGCCGAGGCCGAGCCGCTGACCAACCTCTCTGTCTTCAACCTTACCGAGCTTCCGTCGCGGCTGGCGGTGATCGGGACCGGGCCGATTGGGTGTGAGCTTGCCCAGACTTTTGCCCGCTTCGGCTCGCTGGTTGTCCTCACCGGGCGGTCGGGCTCGATCCTGCGCAACGAGGAACCCGATGCCGCCGTCGTTCTACAGGCGCAGCTCGAGGCCGAAGGCGTCGACCTCCGGCTCAATCTCGAGTACATCTCGGTCCGTACCGATCCCGAGACCGGAGTCAAGATCTTGGTCGTCCGCGAGGACGGCGCAGACGTCGAGACCGAGATTGTCGTCGACGAGATCCTAGTTGCCGCCGGTCGCAAGCCGAACGTTGATAACCTCGGCCTCGAGGCTGCCGGCATCGAGTACTCGCCGCTCCACGGCATCGCTGTCAACGATTCGCTGCAAACAACCAACTCTTCGGTCTACGCTTGCGGTGACGTCGCGTCGTCGTTCCAGTTTACCCACATGGCCGACGCCATGGCTCGCATCGTCATCCGCAATGCGCTTTTCTTTGGCTCGGCCAAGGTCACCGACCTCGTTGTTCCCTGGTGCACGTACACCTATCCCGAGGTCGCGCACGTCGGGCTCTACGAGCGCGATCTCGAGCGCGCCGGCGCGTCGTACACAGTGTGGAAGCGCGAGCTTGCCCACAATGACCGCGCGCTTTGCGAGTCCGAGACCGCCGGCTTTGTCAAGGCCTTCACCGACGCCAAGGGCCGCATCCTTGGCGCCACCATTGTCGCCGAAAAGGCGGGCGAGATGATTTCTGAGTTTACCATTGCCATCAAGCACAAGATCCCCCTTGGCGAGCTCGGCAATGTCATCCACCCGTACCCGACGCAGGCGTTTGAGATCAAGCGGCTCGGCGACGACGCCAACCGGGCCCGTCTCACTCCGCTCGTCTTCAAGCTTCTCAAGACCGTCGTCAAGCTGCGGCGGTAGACAATGTCTGCCTCCCCCCCCTCTCCCCCCCCCCCACACGCGCGCGCACATGATCTCATGTACACATGCCGATATTGAACCATTTCTTCGCATGGCGATCGCACACCAGCTCGACCCATGGCAGCAGCTCTACGCACCTCCAGCGGCTGTCGTGGCCGAGTCGCCTGCGCCGGCTGCTGGCTGAGTGGCACAAGACCACCACACGACACTCGCCACTAAACACAGCAGCGGCACGACCTCACGCCCGCAGCCACCCCTCACCACCCCTACCCCCCCCCCCCCCCCCATACACACACTGTCCACATGTCCGGGGTCCGGTCTGTCCGTGTCCGCGACTCGGTGTCGGCGCTGGCAACGTCGCCGGACGGACGGCATGCGCTGGCGGCGTCCAAGACCTCGGTGACGCTGCTGGAGCTCGACATGCCCGGGTCGATCAAGACAGTGACGACCATGGCACCGGCCAAGTCGCGGAACCGGAAGAAGGACGTGACGTGTAACGATGTCGATTGGTGCTACGCTCGGCCGGAAGTCTTCGCTGCAGGCGCTGTCACCGGTGCTGTCGCTGTTCTCAACGTGGGCGACGAGAAGATGACCAAGCGGGCCATGTACACCTTCCATACCCGATTCGTCAACAGAGTCCAGTGGAATGGCGAGCTGCTGCTCTCGGGCTCACAGGACGGTCTTGTCTGCCTGTGGGATACGCGCATGCAGGGATCAGAGGCCTGCGTCGCAACGTTTGCCTCCAAGACCGGGCCTGTCCACGATCTCTCGTGGGAGCCTGGTACGCCTGGTGATACCCATCTCAAGTTTGTGACCGGAACAACCAACAATGTGGCGGCGGTGTGGGACCTCCGCCGGGCTGGTGCCAAGCGCCCGGTCCACGCCATCTTTGCCCACTCTGACCTCGTGCTCTCAGTCCACTGGCATCCGCACCATGCCGGCAAGATCGTGACAGGCGGGCGCGACAAGCTGATCAAGGTTTGGAACATCGATGCTGATTCCAAGACGCCCGAGGTGACGATCCAGACCGCGTCTGCAGCGGCTGTTGTCCGCTGGCATCCGACCCACGCCCACCTTGTCGGATCGTGCTCCAACACCACCGACCTCAACATCCACGTGTGGGACGTACGATCAAAGTATGTACCGCTGGCAACGTTTTCCGGCCACACCGACCAGCTGACGGCATTCAAGTGGTGCTCGCCACCAGGCATTGACCATCCGGGCGTGCTCTCGGCCTCGCGCGACGCGTCCGTTGTATGCTCAGCCTACGGCTCAGCCAAGTTCCCCTACGCCTCGCTCCCGTCAACCGCGCTGGCCTTTTCTGTCAACGCCTCGGCGCAAGTTGTCTCCAGTCACGCGTACGTCGACCGGGCGATTGGCACGCCGATGGCGGTGTTTGGACCGGATCCACCGGTCTCGCTCTTCTCGCCAAGCGCCGTTGCCTCGTCCCTGTTTGACGATGCGCCGGTGTTCCGGCCGGTCAAACGCGAGGTGACACTCTGCGGGGGACTCGACGGCGAGTTTGACGCCGACACGTTTCGGTACCTCGCCAAGAACTACAAGCTCGACGGCTCGCTTTCGATGGCGGCGTCGTGTGAGCACAACGCGGCGGCGGCGGCATCACAGGGCTGCGACGACGTGGCGACGACGTGGCGAATGCTGGCACTGCTGTACGGCGACGAGGAGAGCGAGTCCGAAGAGATACCAGGAGGCGAGGGCGGCGAGAGCAACAGCGCAGCAGCGGCAACAGCTCCCAAGGCCTCGGCCCGGTGGCACCCAGGGCCCGACTCTGACGGCGACGACGGTGACAACGACGACTACGGGTTCAAGGTTGACATGTCGGACGAGGGCATGATGCCCGGGGCGCGGACGTTCCTCGGAACCGAGTCTGTCTCCCACCCCAACTCGCGGATGATCTCGCTTGGCTCGGGTTACATCCTGGGTGGGCTCGACGACGAGGCAGTGCGAAGCAAAGCTGCGGCGCAGGCGGCGGCGGTAGCAGCAGCGTCAGGGCGTGGTGCCGGGCGGATGGCCAAGGCATCCCTGACGCTACCAGCGTGGGACCACACCCAAGTTGTGCACCAGGTCCTACACCACTACGCCGGCATTGGCGACGTCCAGACGTGTGTAGCAATTGCGATGGTTCTCGGCAGCCGGCTGCAACTTGACAAGGAGCTAGCGCGGCAGTATTACTTTGGCTACATCGAGCTACTGCAGCGGCTCAAGCTCTGGCTGGCGGTGACCGAGGTGGTGCGGATGGTGGACGACGAGGCGGTCTCGATGCTCAACCAGAAGGACACCTCGGTCAAGTTTTCGTGCACCTCGTGCGGCGACGCGCTCGACGTCCGCGGCTGGTTCTGTGCAAAGTGCGCTGAGTTTAAGCGGTGCGTCCTCTGCCAGCAGCGGGTCCGTGGCGCCTGGGTCTGGTGCCAGGGCTGTGGTCACGGTGGGCACCCGGACCATCTCCGCGAGTGGTTTGCCAACTCGAAGCAATGCCCGTCTGGATGCGGGCACGCGTGCGGTCTGGATACCAAGGCCAAACGCTCGAAGCGCGCCCGTGTACCTGCTTCCGCTGGGCGCGCCGCGACGCGAGCCTCAGATGACCCGTCGCCACCGGCTGCCCCACTGCCGCTCGGCAAGCAAGTTCCGCCTAGCCGCGGCGGACGCCCCGTGACCCGGCCAACCACATGGGGCCCGCGGCGCGGGGCGCGAGCTGCCGCTGCCGTCGCCGCTGCTTCCGCCGCATCTGCCGAGTCGCGGGCGAGCAGCACCAAGAGCAGCACCGAGTCTAGCAAGAAGGAGAAAAGTCGTTCGCTCCGATCGCGACGTAAGAAGCGGTGACGATGGTAGTGTAGTCGTCGCCCCGATCGCCGCGCTCAATTGACATCAAACAGTAGTTGCAAGCAAGGGCGCCGAGGTGCGAGAGTTGGTCACAGTCGGCGAGAGTCGGCGAGAGTCGGCCAGTTTGTGGCCGAGCTGCATTCCGAGAGCCACTCTGCTCTCTCTTGCGAGGTGCTTGAACAAGCCGACGTGGAGAGGGAGGACATCAAAGAAGAAGCAACCCAATATGGCCAGCAACCAAGGAAGTGTCACCGCAACTGGGCCACACTATGGTCTTGTTGTGGCTGTCTCTGACGATGGAGTCATCGGTATTGACGGTGGTCTGCCATGGACACTCCGTGGCGACATGGCCCACTTTGTCTCGGTCACCAAGGGTCTGACCCCGCCAGGGTACGTCCCTTCCCTTCCCCTCCCCTCCCCTTCCTCCCCCCCCCCCTCCTTCCCCCGTGACCCCCCCTCTCCTCCCCCCCTCCCCCTCCCCTCCCCTTGTGACCCCCGTGACCCCCGTGACCCGCCCCGCTCACTCTCCCCAATACGTTTGGGGAGAATCTACACTCGTTCGCCCCCTCTCCCTCCCCCCCCTCCCCCCTCCCACTTTCCCCTGTGCCATCACATCTATGCAAGCACACACACACACGCGCACGCACACACGCACACACATACGCATACTGTTGGCTGCTGATGTTTTATGAACTGTGTGGCAGTGGTGCGGGGGGGGGGGGGGGCGGGGGGTGGTGGCGCCCGAGTGATGACTCATGGCTTTGGCGAGTGTTTGTGACGGCGACAGTGTGGTGGCGGATGAGGCGGCGCGAGTGGTGATCATGGGCCGCAAGACTTGGAATTCGATACCGCAGCGGTTGCGGCCGCTCAAAGATCGGGTCAACATTGTGGTGAGCAGGACGATGCTGGAGACGCCCGAGGGCGTGCATCTGGCGCGATCGCTGGACGACGCGCTGCTTGTAGCGTCGCTAGTTCCGCGGGTGGGCTTGGTCTCCGTTCTCGGTGGGTTCCAGCTCTTCGCAGAGGCGATGCAGGACCCTCGATGTACGTGGGTGGAGCTGACCGAGGTGCACACAGCGGTGCGCGAGGGCGTGGGCGCCGGGGCGGCCGTGGTGACCAACTGGCCAGGCGAGGTCGATCTGGCGGCACAGGGCTTCTTTGCGGAAGTCTCGCGGTCGGAGCGCCACGAGGAGAGCGGAATCGAGTTTGAGTACGTGCGTTACGAGCGCATCCGCGGGCCGAACCGCGGCGAGCTCGGGTACCTCGATCTCATCCGACGGGTTCTCGCCGACGGCTTTGAGCGCGACGACCGGACAGGAGTGGGCACCTTTTCCCTCTTTGGCGAGAAGCTGGAGTTTGACCTCGGCGACGGCTTTCCGCTCCTCACCACCAAGAGGGTCTTCTGGCGCGGAGTGGCGGAAGAGCTGCTGTGGTTTGTGTCGGGCTCGACCAACGCGAACGAGCTGGCGGCCAAGGGTATCCGCATTTGGGACGGCAACTCGTCGCGCGAGTACCTTGACTCGATTGGGCTCACTGAGCGTGAGGTCGGCGACCTCGGCCCGGTCTACGGCTTCCAGTGGCGGCACTTTGGAGCGGCTTACACTGACATGCATGCCGACTACAGCGAGGAGGGCGTCGACCAGCTGGCGCGGATCATCGAGACCATTACCACCAAGCCGCACGACCGGCGAATGGTCATGTCGGCGTGGAACCCGGCTGCGCTCGCTGAGATGGCGCTCCCGCCTTGCCACATGTTCTGCCAGTTCTACGTGGCCGACGGCAAGCTCTCGTGCCAGATGTATCAGCGGTCGTGCGACATCGGCCTCGGCGTGCCGTTCAACATTGCGTCGTACGCGCTGCTCACACACATGGTTGCACACGTGACGGGCCTGGGCGTGGGCAAGCTCACCCTCGTCATGGGCGACGCGCACGTGTACAAGAACCACGTCGAGCCGCTGCAGCGGCAGCTGGAGCGCTTCCCGCGCGCCTTTCCCTCGCTCCGGATCAACCGCGAGGTGGCTTCCATCGACGACTTTGACTTTACCGACTTTGAGGTTGTGGGCTACAAGCCCATGAAGGGCATCAAGATGCAGATGGCGGTGTAGCAGCCAGCCGTCGGGGGCGCGCATATAAATGGTATGCTATCAACCCGGGATGAAGAGCGACGGGTGCAAGACGTCGTCACGGCCACCTCAGCCTGCTACGCCTGCACATCGTTCTCGGCAAAGTGCCTGTGGATGACGTTGACAGAGACGTGGACAAAGCCCATCGATTCGGTCTGCAGGTTGAATCGGTCGAGCGGTGCGGTGACGACGTCGTCGTTGACCAGCTCGGGCGAACCGCCGAGGAAAAAGGCTTTGAGCGAGTCCCACCACGAGCGGGCCGGGCGCCAGGTGGCAATGTCCAGCTCGTGGGCGCCAGGCGCGGTGGGGAGATGGACAAAGCCGTAGCCGTAGAGCTCGTCGCGGCCGTAGCGGTCCTGGTGCCAGACCTCCACCTTGAGCCGCGGCCATCCCACAACCGTGGAGAGCGCATAGTGGACATCAAACGGATGGGCCCAAACAGTCGGCGCATCATCCGCCGGCGCATCCACCTGCGTCCGCCCGGACGTTGTTCCGCTGATTTTCCTCCAGCCCTCTGCCGCTGCATACGCCTCGCCGCCTTCTCCACCGCGCCCGATCACCGCGCCCGACGCGCCCACTTCGAGCGACCACTTGCAGAAGAGCGACGAAGATGGAAAGCCGGACGCGCCTGCGATCTCTCCAATGACATGAACCTCAGCCTGTAGGGGAGGGGGGAGGGGGGGAGGGGGGGGGGGGGGGGAAGGGGGAAGGGGGGGAGGGGTGAGTGCGTGGGAGGGAGGGGGGAGGGAGGGGAGGGAGGGCGGCAGGGAAAGGGACACGTACCATGGTGGTGCGTGTCTGTGAAAGTGGTGGTGGGAGTGCGGGGGTGGGGGTGGGAGTGGATAGGTAGGTAGGTGGTGGGTGGGGGGGGGGGGGGGGGGTGGAGTGTTGGGTATGGTGGTGGTGGTGGTGGTGGTGGTGGTGGTGGTGGTTGCCCTGTCGGCGCCAAATGGCGCGCGCGTTTGTTGGTTGGTTGGCAGGTGCGACGACTGGCGGGACGGCGGGGGCGGGCGGAAGGACGGCTAGTGGATTAGTGGTCATTGTGGTGGGAAAGAGAAGGATTTATCGGTTTCTCGGTGGAGGGTGAACCTTTTTTGTCGTTGGCTACACCGAGGCAGTGTGCTTGATGAGGTCGACGACGCGCTGCGAGTAGCCAGCCTCGTTGTCGTACCAGGCAACGAGCTTGACAAAGTTGTCCGAGAGGGCGATGCCGGCCTTGGCGTCAAAGATGGACGAGCGGGTGTCGCCGACAAAGTCGGAGGAGACCAGATCGTCGTCGGTGTAGCCGAGGATGCCGGCGAGCTCGGGCGAGGCGGCGGCGGCCTTGACCACCTCCTTGATGGCGTCGTACGAGGTGGATGCGCCGAGGCGACAGGTGAGGTCGACGACCGAGACGTTGGTGGTCGGGACGCGGAAGGCCATGCCGGTGAGCTTTCCATTGAGGGCAGGAATGACCTTGCCGACGGCCTTGGCCGCGCCGGTCGACGAGGGAATGATGTTGGCCGACGCCGCGCGCCCGCCGCGCCAGTCCTTGGCCGACGGCATGTCCACCACCCGCTGGGTGCCGGTCATGGCGTGGACGGTGGTCATGAGGCCTTCCTCGATGCCGAACTCGTCGTGGATGACCTTGGCAAGAGGTGCAAGGCAGTTGGTGGTGCACGACGCGTTGGAGAAGACGGCAACGTCCGGGCTGTACTCGTCCTGGTTGACGCCCATGACAAACATGGGCGCGTCACCCGACGGTGCCGAGATGACCACCCGCTCGGCGCCACCTTCCAGGTGCTGCCCCGCGCCCGCAGCCGAGGTGAAGGCGCCGGTCGACTCAACGACGTACTGCACGCCCGAGTCGCCCCAGGGAATGGAGCCGGGCTCGCGCTCCGCATGAACAGCGATGGGCGCGCCGTCGACAATGAGGGTGTTGGCGTCGGTGTCGGCCGTCACCGAGCCCGAGAACGTGCCGTGAACCGTGTCGTACTGCGCCATGTACCGCATGTATTCGACGTCGATGAACGGGTCGTTGATGGCGACGACGGTGACATTGGGGTCGGCGGCAGCGGCGCGCGCCACGAGGCGGCCGATGCGGCCAAAGCCGTTGATGCCGATGCGGATCGGCTCACCGCGAGCCTTGGCAAAGGTGGAGAGGTCATCGCCAGAGGCCGACGCGGCCTCGGCAAGGGCCTTCCCACCGGCGGCCATGATGGCGCCAAACGCGTCACCCTTGAGCGACGCGCCGCCGACAAGAAAGCCGTCGACGTCAGCCAGCCGCGCAAGATCGAGCGCGTTGCTGTCGTTGACCGAGCCGCCGTACATGATGCGGGCGGTGGCGGCGACCGACGGCGAGACCGAGTCGGCGACCAGGGCCCGGATGTGGGCATGCATGTCCTGCGCGGTCTCGGGAGTGGCGGTCTCGCCGGTCCCGATAGCCCACACCGGCTCGTAGGCAATGGCGACCTTCTCCCACGCGTTGGCCGGGAGCGAGCGGAAGAGCGGACCGAGCTGGTCAGCCACAACCTTGTGAGCGTTGCCGGCGTTGCGATCGTCGAGCGACTCGCCGACGCAAACCATGACGGCGAGGCCTTCATCCAGCGCAGCCAGGGCCTTTGCGGCCACCAGCTCCGAGTCCTCGCCCTGATCAGCACGGCGCTCCGAGTGGCCCACGATGGCCCACTCTGCGCCGACGTCCTTGGCCAGACTTGCCGGAGTCTCACCGGTGTGAGCGCCCGGGCCAGCCGCAGCCACATCCTGAGCGGCCAGAGCATAATCGGAACGAAGAGCAGCACGAGTGGCAGCAGCATGGACATCCGAGGGAGCGATGACAACCTGGACACCATTGTGAGAAGGGAGGGTGTTGAGCGTGCCCACTAGGTTCTTGATGGTGGCACTGCTGCCATTGGCCTTCCAGTTGCCTCCCACCAGGAAGCCACGCCCAGCAGAAGCACATGCCCCTGCCACCGCACTGAACGCACGGGAAGAGAGTGTCGTCATGGATGCGGAACGCAGCATGGTGATGTGGATCGGGATGAGAGGATGGGAGAGAGAAAGAGAGAAAGAGAGACTGGTGGTGTCCCGTGTCTATGGGTCGTGGGTCGCACTCGGCCATGCCGACGTGGCGGAGACGTGGAGCACTCGAAAGGGGCGGCACTAGTCCAAGCGGCGTTGTGGTCCTTTAGTATGGGCCGCGTGATGCATTGGATGAGGGTTGAGTTGATGGGACCATTGGGGCAGGGAAGAAGAGGATATGGGGGGGAGGGGGGGTCGCCTTAGTCTTATGCATGTGATCGTGCATGGCGGGGTGGGGGTCGTCGAGAGATGATGGCAGAGCGGGTGTGAGGCCGGATGGCCGAGTCATCGACGTCGTAAGTGACGTCGATGAGGCGGAGAGGCGCAAATCGCCCGTCGTTGGCGTAGCGCGGAACCATCTTTGCCAGATCAGGTGAGGGGACGTGCGGCTGGATGGTGTCTGGTACCGGGCCGGAGGCCTTGAACGAATGAGGGGCGGCGGAGGCGGCATGCGAAGAGTCGACGTTCCACTTGCGGCCAGGCATCTTGGCAAACTCGAGCGCCGATGGAACGCGCTTCTCCACAAACGCGTAGTTGGGGTCGTACGTCGCGCCCCCGGGCCCGCCGTCCTCGGTAGCAGTAGCCGGTCGGCCGGCTTTGGACTTGCCGGCTGCGGTCCGCGCCCGTGGCGGGAGCTTGACCGATGGAACTGCCGGCTCGATGGCGGCGTACGAGACGGCGTATGTGAGGTCATTGACCGGGAGCGCCGATGCTTGGTGGCCGGGCACCGACTCAAACCGCGGCTGGTCGCGGGTGCGCGGCTTGAGTACGTCGACATTGGGGTCGTAGAAAGTATCGATGGCCGCCCGTGGGGCAAGCGGCTTGCGTGGCAAGCACTTGCCGATGTCGACGCTGGGAATGTGGCGCCGGATCGCCGAGAGCGCCGGCGCATCCGGGCCCAGCGGCTGGATGTCAAAGGCGTCGGTCGGCGGCGCCCTTGCCCGCTGGACATCCGCTCGTGACAGCTGCTTCTCCATGTCCACCATGGATCGCGCCGAGAGCGCGGCCGACACAGACGGGTCCATGTACTCGTAGGCCAGATCTAGCGGCGCATCCAGCAGCGGCTTGCGCGGGAGTTGCTTCTCAAACTCGAGGGTGCCCGGCGCTGTCCGCGGCCGGAGCAGCGAGTCGTTGACGTAGTAAAAAGTGTCGACCGTCGGCGGCTTGCCGGGCTCCTTCCGCCCGGGCTGCTTGTCCATGTCGACAAGGCACGGCTCGCGAGGGCGGGCTAGCGCAGGCGTGTCAAGCGCCTCGGGAGAGGCAAACGCCACATCGGCCTTACCTGCTGACGAGCTCGGCCGGACAACAGCCGTCGACCGGAAGACCGGGTCCTCCAGTGATGCTTCATGCGCCCGCATCATCTGTCGCGGCGCCGCCGCCGCTGCCGCATCCTTGACCGCCGTCCACTCTGCCGCCGCTGCCGCAATCTCCTCTGACGACGCCGGCGGAACCCGTGAGTATGCGGTCCGCCGCGACGAACCCATACCTGCCGACCGCACTCGCGGCCGCATCACCGCATCCTTGGGCCGGTAGTGTCCAACCGGCGGCGGCGGGTCAGCGCGGCGGTCAAGCGCATCCCGCGACTTGGTGCGGAAGCCCCACGTCCCGTTCGACGCCGCAGCAGACTTGCGGTTCCGCGGCTGCCAGTGTAGTGAGACCGCGGGCGCGGCGCCGGCTGCCTCGGCATCCAGCGAGCCCTTCATCGTGCCCGGCCCAACGCTCTGCGGCTGCGGTCGTCCAGTCCTTTCTCTGCTGCCTGCCGCCGATGCGGGGCGCCCAACAGCCGGCCCAGCATCTGTCCCGCCACCTGCCGCAGCCAAGGAGCCAGCCGCAGTGGCCCGAGCCGCCGCCGCTGCTGCTGCTGCCGCCGCCGCCGCCGCCGCATCTCCACGCGGAGACGACGAAATGGCCTTTGCCCGGCCAGCATCGGCATGGTACGCATCTGGAGTCCGGATCGAGTTCTGCTGAGCAATGGCCATGTCCAGTAGAGCCAGATCAGCCCTCTTCCCCCGTCGTCGCCCACTCGCTCCCGTCCGACTTGCACTCGTCGGCCGTGTCTGTGCATACCGCGAGGTCACCGCCCGCCCAGCCCGCGACACTGACGCCACTGGCCGCAAGACCCGAGGGTCCACCGACGACGTTGTCTGCGCAGTGAGGACCATGGTACGCCGTGGGGTGGTGGGGCGTGGGTGAGGTGGGGGAGAGGAAGGGAGGGGGGAGGGGCGGAGGGGGGGCGGGGGCGGGTGTGTGCCGCCGGTGCGGCCGTTGACAGCTGAGAGAAACCGAATTGGCCGCGCTGCACGTGTCGCGGCGGTGGAAGGGGGGAAGGGGGGGAGGAGGGGGGATGGGAAGATGCAGTAAATGCGGGAGAACGGATGGATGCAAGATGCAATGGTGGATGCGGGGGATCGGGTGGATGCAAGGTGCAGTGGCGGATGCACGGGGTTGGGTGGATGCAGAGTACAATGGATTTAGAGCTACGCTTTTCTCCGGCCTCATCAGCTGAAGAGCTTGGAGAGGAAACCCTTCTTCTTGGGCTCGAGGAAGCGAAGAGGGATATCCTTGCCGAGGAAGCGGTCAACAAAGTCGCGGAAGGCGCCGGAGCAGTCAACCTCGTTGGGATCCTGCATGACGACGGGCTGGCCGAGGTTGGTCGAGGTGAGGACGGCCTCAGAGTTGGGGATGACGCCAAGGAGCGGGATGCCAAGCATCTCGGAAATGTCCGAGACCGAGAGCATGTTGGCGTCAGCGACCCGCTCAGGCTCGTACCGAGTGATGAGCAGGTACGCGTCGATGGGCTCGCGGCCGTCGGCGGCGCGCTTGGACTTGGACGCCAGCAGGCCGATCATCTTGTCCGAGTCGCGCACAGACGACAGCTCCGGGTTTGTGCACACAATGGCCTCGTCGGCAAAGTACATGGCGTGGTGCGCACCAGACTCAATGCCTGCCGGCGAGTCGCAGAGAACATAGTCAAACTGCTGCTTGAGCTGGTTGATGACCTTCTCGACGCCCTCGAGCGTGAGCGCAGTCTTGTCACGCGTCTGCGACGCCGCAAGCACATACAGGTTGTCGTTGCGGCGATCCTTGATCAGTGCCTGCCGGAGCTCTGCCTCGCCCTGCAGGACGTTGACAAAGTCGAAGACCACCCGGCGCTCCATGCCGAGGTGCAAGTCGAGGTTGCGCAGGCCGATGTCAAAGTCGATGGCCACCGTCTTGTGCCCGAGCTCCGCCAGCCGGTACGCCATCGATGCCGACGTCGTGGTCTTGCCCACTCCGCCCTTGCCCGACGTGACCACCACCACACGGCCCTCGCCCTCGCCGCCGTCGCCGCCCTTCACCTTGCGCGCCGCTGCATGGACCCGCGCCAGCCCCACACGGCCCAAGCCTGCAAGCCCTGTAAGCCCACAGCTGCTCCTCATTGCTCCGCGCACTCCGTTCAGCATGCTTCTGCTTCAGTCTGCTCTCACAATGCGCAAGTGTGGTGGTCTTCCCTCCCGACCTCGTCCTCTCCCTGTCCCCCCCCCTCCTTCCCCTCTGCTCCTTCGCCGCGTCATGGGCCCGTCTTGGCGCCAAACCGGCGTTCACCGGCACACCGCAGTCTGAAACCACGACCTTTTTTCGCCCCAGCTCGGCCAGCCGCCCGCCGTTTTCCTCATCTAACCTGTGCCCACAGGCTCCCGTCGAGTCGTGCGCTTGTGCATGAGGTGTGCAGTATATGTGCGGTCTGCAGTTGCGCAGTAAGTGAGCGTCGATGGGCACGATCAAAAACATGCGGGGAGGAAGCAGGGAGGGGCTGGCCGTCTTTTGTTGTGGCTTTGATCAAAGCCCGATCGATCTGGTGGTACCCGATCACGACCACCGCCTCCACCTCGCCCCCCCCCCACCCCCCCACCCACACCCGCACAGGCCCACGGCCCACCACACCACGCCCACGCCCACCACTACACACCCGCCACCTAATCCAACAACCCCTCCTCCTCCTTTCCTCCCCTCTCCCTCTCGCCCCCCCCCCCTACCGCACACAGCCACAGGCAGCCAGTTGGCGCCAAGACCGGCCATGAACCGCAACGTGGTCTTCTTCGAGACCTCGCCGCTCGAGGTGACAGACGCAGTGACCAACATGGTCAACGAGTATGTGTGCAATGCTGTGGACGCCATGGAGGCGGCCATCATCAAGCGCATCCGGAAGAAGGCCGTGGCAGAGTCAGTCCAGGCCAAGCTCACAGCCGCAGCCACCACGGCGCTCAACGACTACGCCGACGCGCTGAGGTCGGCGCTGGATGCCAACCTGGCGGTGTTTGAAAAGTATGCCCTGCTCAAGATCTTCAACGTCCCGCGCGAGTTTGATGTACCCGAATACAAGCTGCCGAACAAGCTCTACACCGACGACGACGAGGCCGAACTCGACGCTGCGCTCGAGGCTCGCCGTAGCCGCGCCGCCCGCCTCCGCTTCCGCAACAAGATCATGCGGGCCGAAATCGAACTTACAACATCCTCCAACCAGCGCCTCTCGTACGTCTCTGAGCAGATCGTCGCCATGAAGGCCGGCGCCCGGGCCCGTGCGGTCGAAACCCAGGACATTCCGCGCCTCACCTCGGGCGCCGTCGAGTCGATCATGGAGCTCCGCGAGCTGATCGAGAAGCTCACCACTGCCCGCCCGGCCCTCGCCGCATTGCTCACGGCCGTTCCAACGGCCTCGAGCGCTCGCGCCGAGTTTGCCCGCGATCGCGCCGCCATGGACATCGAGTGAGCCGCGCGTGGCCCAACCCGCTAATTGAAGTACCCTACCGCAGGCACCGCAGCTGCGCTACACGAGGCTCACCTTGCGCTGGCGCTGCTGGATGCGGCGAAAGGCCTCCAGGACGTGCGGCGGTTGAAGCGCAACGACCGTTTCAAAGACGCCGGTCCGCGGCGCGGCGC